GTATGTCCAAGATAAGAAGGACGGGATCATATACTTACCTTTGATTATGATTAGAGTCAGCTAACCATCAACATTGTACTTTAAAAAATTGAAGCCTGAACTCTTTCCTAAGGCAGATATCATGGCTGGAGCTCTGGGGAGCATTACCAGATGAATTACATATTCTATTTAACTACTCACTAAGTGAATGACTTTGAGTAACACACTCCCCATAGTTTCCTGAGCCTTAGTTTCCTAATTTTTGTGATGGGAATGACAATGTCTAAGCCACCTAGGCAGCAGGAAGGTTAAAGGTGATAACCTGTGTGGAAGGCCTAAGAAAGACAACTTGCTTATTTGGCAACCTAGTCAATTCCTAGATTAATTTCACTTGCAGTGTTTATATTTATATTGTAAAGTGTGTCCTCTGAATGCCTGTGTTGATTATTTTGTCTAAAAAGTGACTTGGATGATCTAGGATTTATACAGGCAAATCAAGAAAATGTGAAATACATCTCTGTGTGTCAATATTCAACTTAGTTCACAAATTAAAACTTAAGTTGATTATTAGAAAAATATTGCAATTTTGAATTATGTTTCTATTCTGTAAAACTCCAATGTTCTAGTTTCCATATCAATGTCTTGCAAGAGGATTAAGTTTTTATTTGGGTCAACAAAGCAAAATTCCTGGAAGAGCCTACTATTTCAATGCATAATGCCAACCTACACAGAAACAGGAGGCTCTCAATGGGGTTAGCAATCCAAATTCACTCTATTAGATTTGCACCTGATTTCCAGTAGCATGGTGGACCCAAGGTTACTGGAATACAAATTCACAAAGGTGGGAAGAATTGATATAGTGTAAACATGTAAGCCATATGAACTACTATTACTGGTATTATTTTATTATTTTTAGATGAAGTCTTGCTCTGCCACCCAGGCTGGAGTGTAGTGACATGATTTTGGCTGACTGTAACCTCCGCCTCCCCGGTCCTGGTTCAAGCAATTCTCCTGCCTCAGCCTCCCAAGTAGCTGGGATTATAGGAATGCGCCATCATGCCCAGCTACTATTTGTATTTTTAGTAGAGACAGGGTTTCACCATGTTGGCCAGGTTGGTCTTGAACTCCTGACCTCATGATCCACCCGCCTTGGCCTCCCAAAGTGCTGGGATTGCAGGCATGAGCCACTGTGCCTGTCCTTACTGGTGTTATTTTAAAGGTATTTAATATTGTTAGGCTTAAGGATATTAGAAGCAGCAGTTTGTGGAGGAAGTACAGCCTATTTCACTAACAGACCTTATTATACATATTCTGGCTATTAGATTTGGGAAGAGTCTGGGAAAAATTTACTCCTAAATTGCCCCTGTTGATCAAAATCCCTGAAAACTAGTATCAACAGAGGGTCTTCCTCATTTCCTTCCTTCTCTTCCATCCTCAACTCCTCCTTCTCTTTCTCCCTCTTTCTCATTCATTCCAGAGGTGCTATAGCTCAGGACTACATCTTCCCTCATTTCTTTCTAACCACTCTCTTTGCCTCCACTACTAGAATGGTATTTCTAATTTGCAAATCTTATTTTGTATATCTCTTGGTTAAATACAGCCCCTCCAGTGAAGGTTCAAAGGGCTCACAACACTCTCTACTACCTTGGCTCCGGCTGCCTTTCTAAGGTCATCTCTGGTTACTGTAACACAGTCCAGTGCTGCCTAAGGACATTTCAATTAATGACAGACCGCAGATACAATGGTGGTCCTCTAAGATTATAATACTGTATTTTTTTTTTTTTTGAGACGGAGACTGGCTCTGCCGCCCAAGCCAGAGTCACTGGCGCATCTTGGCTCACTGCAACCTCCGCCTCCCAGGTTCAAGCAATTCTTCTGCCTCAGCCTCCTGAGTAGTTGGGACTACAGGTGCACACCACCACACCCAGCTAATTTTTGTATTTTTAGTAGAGAGGGGGTTTCACCATATTGGCCAGGCTGGTCTCGAACTCCTGACCTCGTGATCCACCCGCCTTGGCCTCCAAATGTGCTGGGATTACAGGAATGAGCCACCACACCCAGCCTATAATACTGTCTTTTTATTGTACCTTTTCTATGTTTAGATATCAGAATGCTTACCATTGTGTTACAGTTACTGTAGTATTCAGTAGAGTAATGTGCTGTACAGAGCTGGAGCCTAGGAGCAATAGGCTGTACCACATAGCCTAGGTGTGTACAAGGTGATATCATCTAGGTTTCTGCACGTATAGTCTACAATGTTTTCACAATGACTAAATCGCCTAACAACATATTTCTCAGAATGCATCCCTGTCATGAAATGACACATGACTATTCCAGTTAATCCTAACTAGACAACTAGCCACAATCGAATACATTCCCATTCTTTGGCCTATTGCATACACTGACATCGCTGTGTTTTCCTGGAGAGGAATGCCGTGCCCCTCACCTGTCCACCTGACTAATGCGTATTTCTGTCCCAACACAAACGTCATTTTTTAAAAGCCTTACTGACCCAGACAAAATGAATTTTTCTATCTCCACTGCCCGTTATATATACTTAAGTTGGATATAACGCTTATCACACTACGCTATTAGTCAGCTTTGTGTCTTGTCTCCCGCACTGCATTGAAAGCTTGTTAGAGGCAGGGATAATGTCTCATTCTTTGTTGTATCCGTAGCACTTAGCATCTTCAGTTGTACCTCTATTGGGCACACATAATGTACTAGTTAATTTACATAATCTATCTCCCATTTTCCAGATCAGAAATCTAAAGCTTGCAGAGGTTTTGCCTGAAAAAAAAAAAAAAAAAAAAAAAAAAAAAAAGACACATGGTAGAATAAACAGTAAAACCTACGCTGGACTCCAAAGCCAATGCTATGTTGTTGTTGACTGAATGAAGATAGAAAAGATCACTTTGGAAACGGTGCCAACCTACCATATTAAACTGAGGTAATGCACTACAGGCAATGTGCACAAAATTCACCATTACTGCTTACTTACAAGGCCTGGCCTGCTTAGCACTGGAGACTTTTCAGACCATAGTATCTACAGAACAATGCAATACAAGTTGATACCTCTTGTGTATCTCAAAGGTTTTTACCTTTTGACAAAACAGCCTTCCACTCTCACAATAGGTTGATGTCCTGTTTTACAGGTGTTATGTCATCATCTCAAGGCCACACAGCTTAGTACCAGCTAAACGAGGCCTAAAACTTTTTTTTTTGTTATTTAAAAAAATTATTTTTTATTCAAACTGAAGCCACTACATCCATCAAATGTATTTCTAGGTGAGAGCAGTACACCAAGTGGAAATGTATGCTCAGTGGAGGAGGCTGGGATTAAATGCCACAGGCTTGCTACAGCCAAGAGTATATCTGCATCTATGAGGGGCAGACCAGAACAGCAAAGCTAATGCCAAGACCAGCCACAGTACAGTACATCTTGCAATGCTGCATCAGTCAACTAGTTCTAGAGTGCACGACCAAAGCAAAAAATGTGATTCAACACAAAAAATGAGGTTTCTCTAACCTCCAATTTAACTATGCAAGGTCTTCTTATTACTTAACTAGGTACCTTCACCAAGAACAGTTAAGAAAATCAGACAACTGCCCTTGCTTCCTATTACTCTTCTTTTTGGATACTTTTTATCAAGTGAGGTAAGCACACGTTTTCCAATAAGTTATTCAGCAAAATGTCCTATGCTACTTAACTGACTCAAAGCAAACAGAATTTTTGTTTGTTTTCTTTTGAGACGGAGTCTCACTCTGTCGCCAGGCTGGAGTTTGGTGGGGTGATCTCGGCTCACGGCAACCTCGGCCTTCTGGGTTCAAGCAATTCTTCTGCCTCAGCCTCCTGAGTAGCAGGGACTACAGGCATGCGCCACCACACACAGCTCATTTTTGTATTTTTGGTAGAGATGGGGTTTCACTATGTTGGCCATGGCCTCGATCTCCTGACCTCGTGATCTGCCCGCCTCAGCCTCCCAAAGTGCTGGGATTACAGGTGTGAGCCCTGCACCTGGCCAACAAACACATTTTTTAAAACAACGACAAAAGGGACAAAAAGCACAATAGCCTGGCTGTGTGCTTTCCATTTAAAGAGAAACTCCCTCCCTTCAGAGTCCTAGTTCCTTGCTCTGCACCAATGGCTATGCTGTTGTTTAAAACAAACACTTAAACCGTTGACATTGAAATATCCAGGCTACATGGTCTTAAAGATAGAGTCTGGGTTAATGAAATAAGGTGAGTCAGTGAGATGCAAGACTTAACGTTCCAATAATTATCTTTTTAACCCCCCCCCCTTTTAAATGTCAAAACTCTTAGAGCTCTTCTCTTAGGGGAGTAGGAAGGGGGGGGTCTCCTCTAATTTTGTGGAACCTAGGTTTTGTAAGGATATTGACAAATTAGATGCATGGCAATTAAATTAGAATTTCACCGTATCTCCTGCCTTAAAAGAACAGCTTTATTGTTGACGGAGCCCACCTAACAATTTTATGTTCAGTCATCTGCAGAGAATAGAGCCACTGTCTTTTTCTTTCCTAGCCTAGGGTAGAAGCTTTATTTCACTGCAAGTTCCCTGTGACATTTTGCACTCTCTTGATTTAATGCACCAAAGAGGATCTTTAACTCTTGGTCTACACCAGTGCAAATAAAGGTTAAATCTCTCACTAACCATCATGAACTAGCCTAATAACTCACGAGAGGCCCTGGAAAAAGAAACCGAGAAAGCAGGTGTGCAGACTTGATTAAAACGTGCAAAACCCGCACAACCGCAGGCAAAGGTACTTTATCCTCACGTTTGGCCAGTACCGGCTGCGAGGTCCGCAGGCAGGGGAACTTGTACTGCGCCAAAAACACGATCCCGGGAGCCGGGCCTAGTAACACAGGGGCTTTTCTTCAGAACAGTGTCCAGACCGGAGCTTGCGCCGAAAGTAGGGGCTCCTATTGGCCACGCGCCGTAGGGGAGGAGACGACTGGCAGGCAGAGGGACTGGAGGAGGGGAGAAGGGGGCAAGGCCTTTTCCCTGCCCCCTGCGGGCCCCCTCCGCAGGCCGCCGCCGGTGCCTCTTGCGTGGTTACTATGCAAATTGCAGCGATTGCGGAAATAAACAAGGGGGTAGGGAGAGGAGAGAGGGACTGCCGAATCGATTGCAACTTCTGCAAAGTCTCGTACAATCCAAAGCACGCAAGGCAAAACCAGAGAGAATCTGAGAACCAGCCAGCCCGGGTTGGATCGCTTTCAAAAGAGAGAGTGAGAGCGAGCGAGCGAGACAGTGAGAGAGGGAGAGAGCGCGCCTTGCAATTGCAAAAGCCTTCTGATTTGGAGAAAAAAAAAAAAAAAATTCTCCAAGAAGCCTGCAATTGGCTAACAGCTTTTTAAAAAATCTCTTCCGGGTTTTCAACGGTTCCAAGTTTATTTAGATTTTTTTTAATGCAAAAAAAAAGGGGGCAACAAATGAAGCAATTCGTCTGAGCATTTTAAAGTTTCTCACGTACTCTTTTTACATTGCAATGGTACGTGGTACATCTTAAACTTTCTATTTTGCATTTATATGATATGCGTTTTATAAACAATAATGGTAGAATGATGATTTTGTTTAATGGCTAAGACTAAAATTTCTCTAGCTCGCATATGCACTTAAGTGATTGCTGGGTAAATGTCTATTGTGATGGTTTTGTTTTAAAGATGTAGCTTTGTGGATGGTGTTTTTGCTATGTGCATCAGAGACCGGGTTTTCTTTTTCTTTTTTCGGGATTTGAAAAAATTGCTGAGCTTGACAGATTTTTTTTTCCTCCTAGCGCTTGCTCGGTTCCAGAAAGGGGTGGGGGGAAATCCTGTACGTGCTCTGTTCTGTAAAAGACGTCTGGCCTCAGCAGTCAACCTAACCCGAAAAGAAATGTCTGGACCCGGAGAATAATTGACGATTTGATCCTCTAATCAATGGGACAACATGGGAGATTGACAAAAGCTTTATCCAATCATAAGAAAGCCTGGGTGTACAATAGTTCTCAATAGCCAGAGGGGGCGGGGCAGAGGAGATCTGAAGTTCTCTGCAGCTCTGAAGGGGATGGTGTGGTTCAAGCTGTCAAAGCTACAAGCGCTTCCGGATTTAGCAAGCACAATAGGAAAGAGTTTTCGCGTTTAAGAAAAAAAAAAGCTGATGGGGGAGTTTTGCATGAATCGTGTGCCTTCTTCCTCGCCTTCTGGAAAAACAAACATTCTGCTAGAGAAATAACTTTGCATTAGTTATTAACTTTGCATTAGCTATTATTTTTAAACTCAGGGAAGTTGGTAACTTGTGGAATGTGAAGTTCAACTTTAAGAAATGTGTGGCTTAAATCTTGCCTGAATTGTGGGACTGTAGTGAGCTTTGGGAAGTAACATTGTGGCGTACTCAGCATTACAAAACTTCTCACTGATTATCTTAGGAGCTTTGGCATTTCAGGTACTTTGAAATTAATAGGTAAACCTCTCTTCTTGAAGTCTAAACAACAGTTTTAAAGGAGAGAATGTTTCACAGGTGGACTAGCAGCTGTATTACTGAAAGAAAGTGGGGGAGTGTTTTTTCTTGGCTGTTCTTGAATTCTGCTTTTTAAGTATATGGTCAGTAGGAAATAGGACATTAAGACTGGCCAAGTTCACATTTCTTCTTGTTACCACAACAACCCCCATGGAGAGTGTGAGTATGGAAGATCGCTGACTTGCTAACTGTTAGCTGGAGTCTGGCCTCTTGGACAAGTGCTTGATACAAATCCAGTGGAAACCAACTGCAGTAGCTTGTCTTGGAGACAGTAGCTGGCAGCCTCTGACTAAAATATCTCCATCTCTTCCTCTCTGAGCAGTGTAGACACCTAATTCTGTTGGGAAGTGAATAGAAAATAATAAGGGCTCTTTCCCTTCTTGGATTAAATTCCCATCGAGCTATTTCCCAAGGCTTCAGGCCTTCCAGTCAAATCTGGCTTGGAACTTTGATGTAACAATTCACTTGGACACTCATTTCAGCAACATGGTTCAATTTAGGATTATATGCATGTAAAAAAATCTGCACAGAAGTGACCACCAGGTCAAAAACCAGAAAAGAAAAAATGTTGAAAAATGCCAGTTAATAAAGTTAGTCTTGGTTAAGAACTACAGAATTATGGTTTTGTCACTTATGAATCCCAGTCCTATCTTCACTGCTTTGGGTATTAAAATCTAAATCATATTAATAAGATCTTCCTATTAAGTAACCTCCAAAATGAGAGCTATTTGAGATGTACATATAAGTGAAACCTTATTGACGTAATTTATATATCTAAGAGGATTTCACTAAAGCTGGCAAGGTAACGTTTCTGCAAATAAAACACAGTAAATGCAAGGCTGGGCTCTGTGCCAGGAAGAATATGGATAGCAGAGAGCATGACAGGAGCCTCCTTTGCGCAGAGACAATCCCATTTCAAGGCAGCCTCCTACCACTTGCAAAATAAATGATTGGAGTGGTTATTTCCAATAAGGGGTTTATCCTTCCTAACAATGGGTCATTTATATGATTGCAGTGAACTAGTTTCTATACTTCACCTGCGTTTCCTCCACTGCTCTCTCTACTATCCTTTCTTTCTTCCCTCCTCCATCCCTGCTCTCTCTCAAGTGCCTTAGTATCTTTGTGAACTCTGGACAAGGATTTACTTTTGTAACTTGGGAAGAGGGGAGAGAGTTGGAAATGTTTTCTACCCCAGTCTGCCCTTTGAGGAACATCTGTTTCTTTGTGCGTGTGTTTAAATTTATGCCTGTTGGAGAGAAAGTTACCAGAAGCCTTTCTGTAACTGTAACTCTTCTACTGTATTTTTCTCAGTCTTGTTTCCAAAGGCTGTAGATGGAACTGTGCTTTGTAGTGTTTCCCCCGCCTCCCCCCTCCCTCTGCGGGGGAGGGAGCGGGAGCTGGCGGAGATAGGAGAGAAAGCAGGAGCGGATGTGAAGGGCTTTGGTGCTGAACTTGGATCCAGCCCTTGCCTAGAGGGCGCAAACAATCGTCCCATATCCAAAAGTCTTAAGAAGGGCGCCAAAAGTTACTTAAGATAATATTGCTAACCGCAGAAAGCTGGAAATCGCGGGCACATCCACTGCTACAACAAAAGAAGTTTTTAAAGTAGAAATATCAGCATTAAATTACTTCCCCCCACATTAAAAAAAAAAAAAAAAAAACCAGGGCGACGTGCCAGTCCTTTTTTTTTTTTTTTTTTTTTTTAAATCTTTTTCCCCTTGAGACTCCAAAGTAAGAATCTTTGCCATTTTGAAAAGAGGCAGATGTGAAGTGTATCTTTTAATACACCAAAGAAAGATTTTGATCTGCTCTGTAAGAGCTTCCCGAGTACAAACTCCGAACAATAACTTCTCACTGTGCCTCAGTTACATGTTGGGACCGTCAGCCAGAAACTTCTATCGAGGAAACTTGGAGCGCATTGAAGTTATAGATCCCAGCAAAGGTTCTCGTGGCCAGGGATGTTGTCTCTGTAACTCAGCTTAGTTTTTAGGAGATTCTTCCTTTACTGAAATCCGAGAGGAACCAAAGAAAAGCAGTGGGTTAGTTTGGGAAAATGGACTTTTTCATTAAAGGCTGAAATCATTATTTCTCCTCACTCCTTAGTAAATAATCCTGAGAAATTTCCAAGGATGTTCAGGAGGGAGGGTGGGGGAGAGAATGGTTCTTGAGCATTCGGGAATTATTTTGGCAATAAAGTAACTAAAGTACAAGCATAAAATAGCTTTAGACAGATGAATTATTTCAGAGGTTCTCCTTTGCTCTTTCTCCAGTACAGTATTTCCTGCCCCTTGCTTTAAAAAGAAAGTCTGAATGAGAGTGGCCTTAACACACCACTCACCCTCACTTGTGGAATGGGCATTCCTACAGGAATTTCCTCTCTTTAGAGATTCTCTGGCTATGTCACCTCCACCGAAGGACAGATTCCCTGTGTGCCAGTGTCTTTCAACATGATACCCACCTCTTTCCTTATGGAATTTTGAGAAGGGTTGTCAAATGCAGCATTTTGCAAAACCATCATGAGGAAGAGAAGGAAAATAAGGGATAGGGGATTGGAAGAGGCAGGTATGGGGAAAAAAATACATATATATTTATATATATATATTTTTTCCCCTCCAAGAGAGAAGAGAGCCTAGAGAGAAAATATGAGGTTAAAAAAAAAACTGGAAAAGCAGGCTTACTGGCAACTTGCCAAACCCTAAAAACCACCCCCCTTTTCTGCCAAAACAATACTTTAGCAAACCTAAAATAATTGCAGGAAGCTCTTTTCCATTTTAAGAACTATTACCTGGGGGAGGGAAAAAAGGGATTCTTAAAAGGCACCCTTCCAGAGGTGTCCCAGAAACTGGGACGGTAATGACAGCCTATGTCCAGTTCTGGGCACGCGTTTGTGGATCAGAATATCTCCCTACCCTAAGGGGACATCCCTTTCACATTTTTTTTCCTCCTAAAAAGAAAAAGATGCCACAGTTAAACCACTGTTGTTTCTGAACGTGATAGAACTTTTTCTATGGCGTCTGTGTTCAAATCCACTAGTTTCACAGTTCTGGGAGGGAGAATGCTCATTAATCTCCGCCTTCCTTTCTCCAGACCCCCGCCCCCCAAATCCGGTGAATCTTCTGTGGGCACTGATTCCTCACCAACCCCGATTCTGAATGCCACAGGACCGAAGCTGCACAAAGTTTACAGGATTGTGTGCATAATTACCTCTGCCGACGAATCTATTCCCACAGAAAGCTTCGCTGGAGAGATTACAATGCTTTGAGCCTTACCGCATTTCAGTGGGGGAAAAAAAAGTTACCTAGGAGGTCTGATTTTTCAAAGAAATTTGCATACATGCAAATGTGCCGCCCGGCCTCCTCCTCGGTTCTCTACGTGCCCACGCGGTGGCCCGGGGGGGGTGCGGGGCAACCTGGCAAAGTTGCCGAAGTCCTCCGCCGAGGTCCGCGGAGGTCTGCGGCAGCGGTGGGGGGATGGGGACGAGGAAAAGTAGTTTTGTTTGCTTAAGCACATCCTGTGGCAGCCTATAGCTGCCCGGGAGTACAGACTGTAACTGCTCCTCACTGCGTTACCCAGTAATGCGCTGATCGGGGGAGGGGGGCGGGGGGGCCGCAGAGCGAGCGGGAGAGCTAGCGAGCGAGCGAGCGAGGAGCGAGCCAGGGAGAGAGCCGGGGAGCGAGCGAGCCAGGCAGCGAGCGCGAGCGGCCGCGGAGGCTCGGGACCCGGCTGGCCGCGCGGCGCCGCAGCCGCCCCCTCCCCCACGCCCCCTCCCCCCCGCGGCGGCGGCGCGAGCGGGCGGCGGCTGTGCGGTGCGGTGCAGAGCGGAGGCGGAGGCGGGCGCGCGGGCAGCTCGCGGGCACCCGGCCGGGCCGGCGCGGGAGCGGGAAAGGGTGCGCTATGCCTTTAACGCCCGCGTACAGTAGGCATGTATAGTGGAGTGTAGGGAAACTCTAGGCGGGGTTAAAGTTCAGCTCATGGAGCGGCAATAGCGCTGGCTGGCTGCAGTTGAGCCGAGTTGGAAATGTGAACGCAAGAAGCAGGCTTGATTTTTTTTTCTCCCCCCTTCTGTCTCTCTCTCTCTCTCTTCCTCTCCCTCTTTCTCCTCTCTCACCCACACTCACGCACACCTCCAAACCGCACACCCAGACGCACACGCATACCCCAGCGCCCGGCAGTTATGTATTCTCCGCTCTGTCTCACCCAGGTAAGCCGCGGCGTGGATGCGGAGGGCTGGGGGGCCGGGGGCAGGGCTGGGGCTGGGCGGGGGGCACCGGGGCCGCTGCGCCGGCCGGGCCCGGGGCGTGCGTCTCGGTGTGTGCCTGTGTCTGCGCGTGTTTCTGTGTGTGTGTGCGCGCGTGTGCCCGCGAGGGGGGGGGTCCCGCTTTAAGAAAGTAACTTTGTTTCCATGCGGGTGCTTTCCTCTTGCACGGCCATTTGTGTGGGCACATGGCTAATGGCGCCCTCTTATTAATGCGTTAATTAATATCGGGGCGACGGACTGCGGAACGGCGGTGTTTTCGGACGCCCCGCACGTGTTTCGGCGGGGTTGCAGCCCATGACACGCTGAAATCTGGCTCAGCGTTTCTGCTGCCGGGAGCAGGGATCCTGTAGTTCCGCGGCGCCCGGGGAGGGGGCCGCCTATGGAGCCCACCGCGCACCCCGCACGCTCCGGACGGCCGCAGTCCCCGGGTGCGGGGAGACCTCGGGTGCCTGCGCCCACGGCCCGCTCCCCGGAGCCTCCGCCGCCGCAGCCCCCCGCCGCCTCCCCGAACTCTTACTTTTGTTTATTGTTTGTCAGCCTTCGGGGTCGGGCCGCGGGAAGGACGCGGGCCGCCGTCCCGGCCCCGGCCCGGACAGCGCCCCTCGGACGCGGGCAGGCGGCGGCGAGCCCTCGGCGGAGCGGGACTGCGTGGACGCGCGTTCCCCCGCGCCGGCCGGGTGGAGCCTGCGTCCTCGCCGCGCGCCAGTGGCCCGCTCGCTCTCCCGGAGTGAAAGTTTCGGGGCCGGGACGAGCCCACGCTGCGCAGGGCGCCGAGAATCGGAGGCCGCGGGCTGCCGGCCGGGCAGCGCCGGGCGGAGTCGGGCTCCCGGCCGCGAGCTGGAGCGGCGGCCCGGGCCGGACGCGGCTCCCCCCCGCCGCCTCCCGCCGCCGCCACCGCGCGACTCCGGCGGCTCCGCGCGCAGGACGGGGGCAACTTTTCCCCTCCGACTCAACTCAGAGCGTGGGGCTCTCCCGCCTCACCGCCCCTCCTTTCCGTGCTCTCCTGTCCATCTCTCCCTTGTCTACCCACCCCCAGGCAAAATATTGCTACTTCACGACTTCAAATCTGTCCCCTTTGAATATATTATTTGCTTTCCTTGACTAAAAGGCATGAAGTCAAAGTGGTTTTGCGCTTTTTTTTTTTTTGAAAAAGCGTAAGTTTTCATACTGCTTTGGTACATTGCGATCTGACCATTAATCACCTCCATGAAGTTATATGCTTCACATAAAATGTTTATTCACCACTCCCTTAAAAAACCTACCACTTCTCTTGCCTTCACTTAGTAGGAGATAACGGTTTAACCGGAATACTTTCTGGAAGGCTAAAAAGTATCAGTAGTTTTCACTCTTCTTTCTAAATTCTGGATTTGTGGCATCCCTTCTTATTGCAATATCTAACAGTAATAATACCGGGTATTTGATCTCAGAAGACTCTTAAATGCATCTTTTATGTTGAAATGGCCTGTTTGGGATTTAGGCCTAGCATTAATAATAGATAGCAGTTACTTTTAGTTATTGTAAAAGTTTTTTGTTCCCCCCCCCCCAAACAAACTTCCAGAGTTCCTATTTTAGTAACTTGTGAAAGTATGGAATGAAACTTTTCCAACCACTTCTGGCAAGGTTCACAATTGCATATGGATAACATGCAAAGTGTAAGATAATTTGAATGAATTACGGACTATAGTGAAAATGCTGAGATTCGAAAGCTGAAGTTCTCGCTGGCAGAAGTTTGCAACACACAGAACTTGTAGATAATACCAGCGAGCTGCAATAGAGGGAAAGGACCCTAACAGATACATGGTGTCTTCTCAATTGAGCTCTGAAAAGATAAATTTATATTTGGGGATGGTGCATATGAGGGCACCTGTATATCCATGCAGGCCCAAGGCACAGTCAGGTATTTAGTAAAGTTGGCTTCTCTTGGTTCATGAGCTATTATCACATTAAGAAAGTTCTTTTTCTTTTTTCTTCTTTTTCTTTTTTCCACTTACATATTTAACAGGATTGAGTGATGCATTCACTAGGCCTTCTGGAAACACCACTATGAGAAATGCTTATTTAGTGTAACAGTTTCTAAAGAAAATGCACAATGAGGGCTCATATTTTATGGGTTCTTCTTTTAAAAATTAATTTACAATTTATTTAACTTGCTGGAATATTTATAATGCTTTAGAGTCAGTTTTAGGAAGAAAAACTTTGGTGGTTTATTGCTCATTAAAAAAATCCAGTAAGCACAGTGACAAAACTATTCTAAATGAAAGAAGAACTCCATTTAACTTGTAGGCAATTAAAAAAAAACTTTACCAAGAAAACCTAGACATCTTATTTTAATCAAGGATGGGCATGTAATAACCATTTCAGGTACTGTCCATATAATGATAACCCAGCAGAAATTTGTAGGTGAACCTTTAAAAAATGTAGTTTCCAGAAATATCAGCATTCAGTGGTTCTTAAACTTGGCTCACTTTCAAACAGATCAATGTTTAAGGTGCTGATTCAAAGTACTACCACTTTTGAAACAGGTTTTCAGGTTTGTTTTTATTGGTGACCTGTAACTTTCTCACTGAATACATATGTAAAATATTCTTTTTTTTTCTCTTGAATGTTATGAAATAGTACGTACCTTGTAGCAATATGTTCAGCAACATGAATTATAAAGCCATACTACTTTTTTTTTTTTTTAAAAAGCTAATCATTTATGCTACCCTGGACATTTCCTACAAGCTAATGATATTCTTTAGTTTTGATATTCTGAAATATTTTAAATCATGACTTGAGAAAGATAATCAGAAAAAATTAATACTTTAATTGTGCATATGAGTAAAGTTATACAAAATCTTCTTCTTAACGTTTGGGGAGTAATACATTGTAGATACTTTTGATGCAAAATTGGGGACTTAGGTTATTCTTAATGACTAGTTGACATAGTTCTTGTTTAAGGATTTTTATGATGAGATGTATGGGCATTTGGTTGGCAGGTAAACAGAATCCTGTTGAACCCGAATGCATGCAGTTTGTAGTTTTTTGAAAAGCATATTAGGAGTATCTTCGCACATTTAAAATGCCATATTAGAATGTTTATTTTAAATGCTTGTTATCATTAATCAAACTTTTAAATAAGATAATGTTTTAACATAGATATGAATTGTTTGGAGCTAAGTTATCCCTTGCATTATAAAATGGAGCTGAAACTTTAAAATGAAATCCTCCTTTGGGTGAAAACTCACTTTGTAGTTGAAGGTAGACTCCAGGAGTTCTTTGCATAATACAACAGAGTCTTGGTCCCTAGCATGTCTTGTATATATAAGAAAATCAGGCAATGTGAAGTTCTGTTTCAAACCTAAAATTTATGTATTTTAGAGCATTTCAAGGATGAGCTCAGAATTTAGTAATGTTTAGATCCTTTGTGGTTTGGCGTATACCTTCGCAGATAAACTGTGACTTGCCCCCCATTCCTTTCTCCTAAAGTATGAGAATAAGAAATATTCTCAAACATCAGAAATTTTAAAAATGTTAATGATTTATGGCAAAGAATAATAATTCCTGTATTTTTTTTTTCTATTCTTTCTCTAAAGAATGCACATGTGTTATGAAAGCTGACTACTTCTCTTTTGGATTCTTTTATTGAAAAAGAGCAGTTTTTAAAGCTAAACTGGAAACATAGAGCCTGAAATTTGTGCAGAGAAGAAAAAAAAGTCAGTTTATTGAAGTGATTTATTACATATTATATTAACATATACTTTTAAAAGCTCAGCCACATAGAGTGTTTAAATGATTGATTATAATTTGCAAAATTTTTAAATGACATGGCTATTAAATATTTTACCAATTTTACCTTATCAGTTCACATTTGAACATTTAAAAATGTAGTCATTGCGTTAATAAGAATATTTTGGACATTACTGCTACCTGTGCCTTGAAAGTATATATTTAGTTAGATATAACAAACTGAAAAAGAATGCATTTTATATTTGTCCTACACCCTTTAGCAAAAAGTCATCAATCTCTCTTTGGTTTCTAACCTTCATTTATTTGAAGGTAATCTATCTTTTGGAGAAAGGGGTTATGTTGCAGAGAGAAGTTATGTAACAGTGTGGATTAGTTAATCAAAAGTTAGATGTACTCCGAAAGCTTTGTGGAGGTTACTGTTTAATCTTTTAAAAAATATATTTATATTTCCTAAGAAAATGTCATGTTTAAGGATCCAACATTTTAAGCAAAACATGAAGAAACACTTAAATATTTGAAATTCAATTTTGTTTTTCAATTTTAAGAGGCATCTATGAGGGTTTTCCTGGCATCTTGTACATATTGAAAATACCAGGCTCTGTTTCCCTATGAGAAAAATTCTGAAATATTATTTGCAAAAATTAAATTATCTATTTTTTAGTTATTATTACAGAAAGCATTTCACAATCTTATCAGTAAATTAAATGTATTCAGTTGCAGCAGTGTTATCACAATGACACATTTTATTTACTATCTGGCATGTACGCTTTTCTTTGTTTTTTTCCTTTTTCTTCCCTCTTTTTGTTTCATTCCCATAGTATCAGCAATTATGTCTTGGGCATAGATCTTTTATTTTAGCCTAATAAATATCAAATTTATCCCTTCTTACGTATATGAATCTGCCAGATTTTTCCTAGTTTTTGACTAAAAAAAAATGATATGTAATTATAATATTTAAAAGGGGGATTTAGACACTAGCAAAATGAATAAGAAACAGATCAGAATCAACATGCAGTATTTTTAGAGGGAAAGCCTTTGTTTTCATTGATTGTAGAGATGATTTTTGCTCCTAGACTTCCATAAACATTGACTGGCATCTAAATGTTTAGGATTTGCCAATCTGGCGGCTGGGCCCTGGCTTTCCTACAAGTGGTGAGGTCAAGGATGGGGCAAAATTAGATATGCCTTCCTTGAAATAGGGTTAAGATTATACATTGTTGTAAGCATTTAGATAAACTTCACTTACTATCTAAAGGGTGAGGAGCTAGGCCCGACAGTAGCAGCTGGTGTACCCTGGTGAACATATCAAAACAGTTTTTTAATTTTTAGCAGGTTTTTTTTTATTTCCAGTCAGAAGAACTGATACTGATAGTTTTCTCTCTCACCTTCCCAGACTTCCCATAGGATCCTGTGTGTGATTCTGGTAATGGAGTGCCCGAATCAAATTTCAAGTGAAATGTGGAATTTTTATTTCTAAGGTGACCCGCTGAAGAAAAGTTGTTTCCTTTTGTTTTCATTCTACTTATATTTTGGTGTTTGTTCATTTTCCTAGGATGAATTTCATCCTTTCATCGAAGCACTTCTGCCCCACGTCCGAGCCTTTGCCTACACATGGTTCAACCTGCAGGCCCGAAAACGAAAATACTTCAAAAAACATGAAAAACGTATGTCAAAAGAAGAAGAGAGAGCCGTGAAGGATGAATTGCTAAGTGAAAAACCAGAGGTCAAGCAGAAGTGGGCATCTCGACTTCTGGCAAAGTTACGGAAAGATATCCGGCCCGAATATCGAGAGGATTTTGTTCTTACAGTTACAGGGAAAAAACCTCCATGTTGTGTTCTTTCCAACCCAGACCAGAAAGGCAAGATGCGAAGAATTGACTGCCTCCGCCAGGCAGATAAAGTCTGGAGGTTGGACCTTGTTATGGTGATTTTGTTTAAAGGTATTCCGCTGGAAAGTACTGATGGCGAGCGCCTTGTAAAGTCCCCACAATGCTCTAATCCAGGGCTCTGTGTCCAACCCCATCACATAGGGGTTTCTGTTAAGGAACTCGATTTATATTTGGCATACTTTGTGCATGCAGCAGGTAAGTGCGATGGTGAGAATTCCTTCCACTTTCTTGTGTGTTTCTCTGTCCTGATGGCCACCGCGTTAATGCTGGATCCTGCCTGAGCTCCCAAGTTGCAGGCCACGTACATGAAGCCAGTGTGGTTTCAAAGATAAACCAAAGTCTTTGGTGCCACCTTCATTCAGGTGGAAAAGCATAGCTTTGAGCGAATTCTCACTCAGTTCAGCTCGTTTGGTAAGTAGTGTTTTCAGAGGCGTTGGTAATCAGATATGTGATATGTTTAAATCACATTTTTTGATGAGGGGGTGAGAGAAGCCTCGTGAAAACCCGTTTAATATAGAGTATGTTTTAACTGGCAAATGATCTAGTTTAAAAGCATTTAGTTTGGTATTGGGGCGATATTTTTAGTTGCTTTTCTGCTGGGAGTGTTTTTAATCTACTGAGGCCTCTTGAACCCCTTGCCAATTAAGAACTTGGAGGTAAGATTACTATCAAATTGCGGATCATTTATGAAGGAAAAATAATCACATTAATACGCAGACTTAGTAGCTTTGTATTTAGGAATTTTTAGTGTTGTCTCAGATAGCTAAAGGAAACAAACAAACCAGCTCTTTCAGTAATTGGATGGAGAGGTTAATATACAAAATAACCAACCTGTATAGTGCACGAACACATTGAAAAATTGCTTTGATAATTGATGTAGTGAGTTGCTTTGATTTATTATAAAATTTTAAATTGTTTTATTTTTTTTTTTTTCAAGGCATGTCTTACCTGTGCATGTTTCAGTATTTAGAGTAGCACGCAGGATAAAACTACTGAGGACTGGATAAAATAATGCATTTCTACTTTGTTCCTTTCGCCTTGTTTTAGACAAAAGGCTCATTGTGCTGTGTGAACGCTCAGGTCTTGTGTAACTTGTTGACTTTATATATGTACGTATCGGTCTTGCTAGATTACCTTCATGGCAGTTACTTGAGCCAGATGAAAGAAAGAAGGTTGTGGAATCCTATCAGTAGGTTGTTCTGGGTTCAAATATTTATTTATTTATTTATTACAAAGGAGAGATGTTACCTGTAAAAACACTGTACTTTTCTTCAAGACATATTTAATTCTAAAACTGTTACTGAGTTTTTAAAGGCATCAGATGATAGCCTGTTCTCTATTATTTTTCTCAATATATGTTTTAGAAAGAGAACTTTTGTTATCCATCTGCCCTTACATAAGAAACTGTAGAAAATTAGCTTTGCAAGCATGTCACATCATCATTTGCATTCTGTTGGCAGGGGATAGATGAGTATTTTAGAGGATGTGAGCTGTAAGTGTTTCAAATATTTGGGTTTTCGAAAATGTATACTTAATTATAAGAATTGCCTTTTGCTTTAGCCAATTCTGGGTAGCAAGAATGAAAAGTCAGCACCTTTCAAGTGACCTCTAAACAGGAATATATATCCCTTTTTTAACCCACTCTTAACCCCATTGTTGTTAATTTGTTTTGTCTACTGAAAAAGCAAAGTTAAAATTTTAAAAAATGTGTCTGCATATGTAAATACAGAAAGACACACAAAAAATATGGTGTTACAGGTGCTTTCAAGGAGCACTCTTTAAAATCTTGTTTTTACCTTTTAGATATTTAGAAAAATATAACATAAATTATCATGAATAATTGGCCAACACCGAAACTCAAAAGGTGCCAACAGGTGATGCGGATCATGATGTGTGCTTCCATATAAGATAACATCAAAATGAAATACCTGTCAAGTTTTTCTCGGAGTAAGCACTGTCCATTCTAAGTTTTCGACTTAAACGTTTCTCTGGATTTAAAGAAATGCAGTCTTTTCGCTGTTCCCATGACATGCATTCTTTTTCGTCGTTGGTTTGTTACCGTGCTATTGCTTCCAATCCTTGAGCTCACACAGTTGTTGGTTGTTGCAATGCCTGAAGGAGTTATGTTGGTAAAATGACATTTAGAAGGTTACTTAGGAGAGTGAGCATCCTTATTGCTTATGAAAGATTTATTGACAGCAGCTTAGATCAGACTACCTTTCGGTTTGGTTTTCTTGATGTATCCCAGAATCCCTTGTTATGCCTGAATGCTAGCCAAATGTTTGGCCATTGGTTTCCACGGGACCGCAGTAATGGCTGCTTCTCTGTGCGCGCAACAGGAAGATTGTAAAAGAAAATATTAAGGGTCTTTTGTCTGAAAATATTTCATATTCGATTTCAGAGATTGAGAGACCTGTTATTTGTGGAAGGGAAGCTGCCAATACAAATATGAGGTAGATCGGTCAACTTACATACAACTGATTTGACAAGCATCTGTTATAATACTGAAGATTTGTAAACACTAAACAATGTTTTTACCTCCTTAAAAGTTTTGAGAACTTGCCAGTATTGGCAGGAGGCAGAGACTCTGAAACGTGCTTCAAGATACATGCCAAAACCATTGTGGCCTTTTCACCTATCATACGTCTTTTCTCTCTCTTTCTTTTAAAATGTTGTGTTTTTTTTCCTTACCAGCATGCCTTTTTTTTCCCTAGATGGTCACAGAAATTAGATCTTCTTTTCCTTCTAAGGTTTTGTGTGTAAATAATTCTTGCTTTATGCGTCCACCTTTCTTTGGTAGGAAGTTGAAATCTTAGAATATACATGTAAACACTAGAAGCAAATGCAGAATCAGTCTTTTTCTTTAAAGCAGAGGTGATTTATTCTGAGACTTCTTGAGATGCTAAAATATAATACATAAACTACATTTTAGTTTTTTTCCTCTAAATCTAACGGCACACAGTGCCGTTAGAACTGTGTGAATTTTGTGGCTGATAAACAGTAACAAGTGTAATGAAATTGGAGTGATTTCATAAGCCTGAGAATTTCATCTTGTTAAAAGAAGAAAAGCATTCTATTCCCTTAATTTGGTCTCAATTTGAGTGGTCCTTCCCCTGTATCATATGACACTTGGAGATATTATGGTATTGTGGCAAATGGTTTTCTTTGTGGGTGTGTAACAGTAAAGCTAATTTATGACCAGTCTTTACCAGATGATCTGTATCAGAATCTACAATATACCCGGCACGTGGCAAGGTCACAATTTAAGTTGTTAAGGTCATAACCTTAGCCACCAGGCATTTGACCTTTTAGATAAAGTTAACCTTTGTTCATTAGTAGGCACTCAACCGAGAAGTTTCTGGAGAGTTGTTGTTTTTTTTTTTTTTTTTAACTGCTTCTGTATAACTTCTGGTAATGTAATCAGATTCTAGAAAGATTCTCAGTCAAAGTAGTTAGATTTTGTAAGAGGTTATGCTTTTTAAGGACTCATTTCTTGGCTAGAGGTAGGTTGCTATATTTAGGCCATAGAATGACAGTGTCACAATTTATATTTGATATTACCTGCTATGAGGTAGAATGAAAGCTCAGAGGCAGCTGTGTGGAGACATTTAAAAACTAAAATTAAACAAATGAGTTTATGTTTAATTCAACTAAGGCCTTTGCTAATTTTCACGTGACATTAGGCCTAAAAGCTAAATCACAGTGAGCCATCTTCACTTTCTGCAGATGAGGAATTTTCTAGGATTAGAAGAATTTTTAGCAGTCTTAAAATTCACTTTGAAAGACTAGTAAGTGACCACAGTTTGTCAGGTAATCGCTTTAATTGTTGATTAGCCAGTGACAAAACAATTTGTTATTATCCTAATAGCAGCAGTGTGGTGAGCACTTGTTAGTTTTAAGGTAGAAGGAGAACACATTTGACTGATTTCCTTACTACCCCCGTTATTACCTTTACTTAATTGTGTTTGGATCACGAATAGCAAAGATCCTTTCAATCACTGAAGGAGCTGTTTCAGTGTCTTAGAAGCCTGGTGCCTGTCCTATAAACCTATTCAACAGTATTACTGATTACCACATTACCTGTACCATATTGTTCACTTAATTATGCTGACATGAATGCTCATTTCAAATGATTTAGATTCTTGCTAGTTTTGCTCTGCTATGCCGTATATTATTCCATTTCAGCCAAAAGAGAGCTACTCCCATTCAGGTACATTTTAGTTTTATTTTGGCTTCGTGATTGCCATTCCTTCATATAGTAATAGAGAAAGCCGTGATATGCAGATAGACCAGATGGTCATGTTGACAGATTGAGAATTCACTTCCTACTGCTTCAGAGCAGGTGTGAGATTAGGAGTGTCTGTGTAGGGGCGTGTGTGTGCTTCATGTGCATGTGTGTGCACATCCAGGCTGCACAGAGTGCTGTTTGAGCAATGGGAATGCTTTCTTCTTTGAAATGCTAGTATTTTAAATACAGTTTTACTATACAGATAAGGTTTTCAGTACATGTAGAATAACTATTGTAATTAAAACAAATAAATCACACTAGATTGTTACAGTTTATAATTTTATACCAAATTAATTATGATAATTTCTTAAATTTTTAGGTAACTTACTACATTAGTTTGAGGCAACATTGCAGATCTAAAATATATTTAATATATTCTGTTAGCAGGTATGTGTTTATGTATTTACACTGAAGTCTAGGACTATACATTTTTTGTAATTAAACTTATTTAGTAACTTAACAAACTCCCTGGTAGAAAGTTGTGCAGTTCTTGTGATTTGTAATTATTAATAAAGTATGCTTGGAAAAAGAAGGAGTAAGACTAATGGACAATGATATTTAAAATTAGGAGAGTAAGGATCACCCTGTCAAACTCTAGCTCTAAACTGAAGGTGGGTTTTGTGGCTGATGGATTTATTGTAACTTATTGATATATGACATATTTTTGAAATTTTTAATTTATCTTTCAATTCTTCAAAAAAGATAGCAGTAGCAATCAACAAATTTGAGATAAGTATGGCTTTTATATCCTTGAGTGTTTTCTGTGTAACTTGAGGATAGTAACAATATCCTTACCTGGAATGTAGTCACAAAATCCTTCACCTAGAATGGTAGTGGAAAAGATGGTAGTTCAAAGGCAGAGAGTGTGCAGGAATAGGGAAAATAGTTGTTCTGGAGTAAACCTTTG